ATCGCTGGCCCTGAGAGGAGGCTCCTTGGGGTGCCCAGGCACTCCCTCCGAGGCTTGAGAGGGCGAAGCGGTCCCTGCTGTGAGCAGGATGCTCGGGCTGTGCCTCCCGCCGCGGCCTCCGGGCAGCATCTCGCTTGGCATGAAGGTGCGTGCGGCTGGGAAAGGCAAACAGCCTTATCTGCGGCCTCTGCTGCTGCTGGATGTCAGCCCAGGCAGTGCAGGCGTTGGTACCTGCTCTGTGCTCCTGTGCAGCGCTGAGGTCCTGTTTGAGGGGTTTCCCGCGGAGAGGAGCGCTGGAGTGACTCGGTGTTCGAGGGGCTGTAGGAAGGAGCGGTTGCTGTTGTCACGGCTGGGAGGTCAGACAGGTTGGAGGTGAGGCCGTGTGTGCAGCCTCATCTCTGTGAAGTGTGTACCTCTCACTTCTGGGTGTGCTGCAAAGTGAAATGTGGCCTGTCAGTTCAGTGATGGAAGCTAAGGATGTTTGCTGTGCAGCTCCCCAGGCTTCTGAACTTCAAGCTGTGCTTCATGCTCATTCAGAGATACCTGTATGGCTGTGAGTAGGTGCACAGTCCTTTGGCCTAGAATCAAGCTGTCAACTTTGAATGTAGCCCTGCTTTGAGTAGGGGAGTGGACCTCCAGAGGTGTCTTTCAACCCAGACTGTTCCACTTTTCAATGACTGTCAACTTCAGGTCATTTTTTCAGGGTGTCAGGAGTCTGGTGCTGGCTGTGTGGGCTTGTTCACATCACGAACCAGTGCATGGAGGGGGTCAAACCCTCTAGTTCTGACTAGCTTGTTTTGTGCTGTCCATTACTCTCTTAAGTATTTGGGGACCAGGTTGCTTGTGTAGCTTTCCTGTCATCATTTGTGTGAGGGAGGGAGTAGTTTTTTAAGTGGTCTGACAAGTTTGTCAGTCCAGTATAAATGTCTGGTGTAAGTAGAGACATTCTGGAGTAGTAGCAGCAATGTATCTGGTATTTTTAGCAGTTCATGTCTGGAAAACAATTGTGCATCTTGATTGGGAACTTACTGTGTAGGCAGGCCAGGTCATTATTTTGACTACTTGGGGATTTCCCATTTTAATACATGTTTGGTGTCTAGCTCTGGTACAAAGGACACAAACTACTACAGAATTTTAGTAACCCCCTGACTAGAAATGTCATGTAACTGGTATCCATATGCTCAAGAGTGAATGAAGTTTCTGATGGGCTGCTCATGTTTACAGCTGTAACAACTAGAACTTTTTTCACTCTACTTTAAAGTGGGTATCTCCAGTTAAAAGTGCATTCCTGTGCCTATATAAAACCTTTGTCAACTTCCATTAGACTTGAAGTGATGTTCATTGGATCGTGTGCTATCCATCAACAAGGATGGTTTGTTTATGTAACATCAAGTTGTGGAGGGGCTGAGGAGCTAAGCTTGGCTCTGTCCAACCTTGAAAGTACAATAAGGAGATGCAATGTTTAATTGCTGAGTAACAGGCCTGTGCCCTGAAGGACTTGCATGCTAAAGCTCATTTAGAGACAAGCTATATGGACAACACAGAACAAACTCTTCATATTGTAAGACACCAAATCAGTGGTGACTTGGAGCTTTTTGTGCTGTCAAAAGATTCAGAGCATGTGGTACAATTAGGTTTTGAAGGAGGAGATGGAAGCTTTAATTTCCCTTTGGTAAAGTCTTATCCCCACACCAGCAATGTACAAAATAGTGAAGAGTAGTTTGGGTGGAGTGTAAAAAGGAATGTAGGAGGCTGAGACTGGGAAAATGTGTAGTCAAAAGCTGAGCTATGGAGAAGAGCCTTTGCTTCTGTGTCAGTAATAGCCAGGGAGTCATCTCACACTGCTGGAAAAGACAGTGGAATAAGATGTAGAAGGGACAAACTGGGTGATGAAACAGTGGTAGTGATCAAGTGTGACTAACATGTAGAGATTACTTTGAATATTCTTTCTCTTTTATAAAGCTGGAAGATGCCCTCCTTGTAGGAAGAGGATGCAAAGGTGACTCCTGAATCAGTCAGCTTGATAACAGGATGAGAAACCAAAGATAATTGGGGAAAATGAGTTCAAGTGGTTTAGCTGAAAGCATCTAATGGGAAACAGTTGGAAGAGCATGAAACTGTTACTACTGCTACTGATGGCAGATACTCATATTTAATTTGGCTGTTGGCACAGCTTCAGACTGAAAGGATGTGACTTAGAGATGTTGCTTTTAAGCTGGTGATGAGGCATCCACCTCAGTTACTCAAAATTGTGTTACACACTGAGTGTCAGTATTTAGTTTGAATCATGATTTTCTTGGTGTGTTCCACAGGTTACTTCATCTGTCTCACAATTAAAACTTAAACTTCTCATTTCTATGTTTTTAATGCCAGGTTGTGGTTTTAATATTTAGTTAGGGAACATTTTGTTTCCCCTCATTCATGCTGTTGTAGTGTGAGAAGCATATAGGATGCTAGACCCCTCATTTATTGAGGAGCAGTGCATGCTTGCTTTGTGGGGGTGCTGTTGGTGCTACAGTTATGAGTGCCTCTAATCTCCATGCCACTGTGCTGTCAGAGGTCTTTGGTCCCACAGTAGAGCCCTACAGTAAATCTCTCCTGTAGAGGACACTTGTTTACCTTGTGCTGTATGAAAGCATCACACTGGAGATATGATAGGAAGTGGAGGTGTCAGCGGGTGCTGACACTGTCCTACTGACTAATCTCCAGTTTCACTGATTGGGCCAGGCTAGATAATGCACAAAGCTGTTAGATCCATATCTGTGGCTGCAAATGGCTTGTAACAGTCAGGTGAGATGACTCCATCTGTTCAGGTGTTCCAGCAGACTTTCTGTTCATGCTGGAGTCACTTGCCTTGAACAGAAGTGATCCTTTTGTGGTCAGTTTTATCTTGCTGGTTGTTCTAGCCACAAATTTTCTTCATCTGGGATATCTCTAACTGTAGTTTGTCTAAAGTCCTGTGATTCTCTGCATAATTCTAACAGACAACTATTGCTTCTAGCCAACTATGATGACTTATACCAGTGGTCAGTGGAATCCTTCGCAGACTTCTGGGCAGAATTCTGGAAGTACAGTAGCATTGTGTGCTCTCACCTGTATGATGAGGTAAGTCAGTACTTTTTTTGTCCACAGTCAAGTGTAATACAGAGGGAGGTAAACTAGTTTTACAATAGATCTTCTGACCTGTTACTGGCACCTTTGTAAGTGATAATGGAGATCCATGAAGTGTGTAGTCCTGAATTTCCTTGGGTTCTGGATGGTGGTGTTCTGTTGCTGATACACTTTAGGCAGTGAAATCCTCAAGTTCTATTGTCTTAAACAATTCTGCTCTACTGTCCTTGTGGTTGTGTGCTCTTGCACACCTTGGCAGCCCTGGTTACCTGTGAGGAGTCTACCAATGTGCTGCCTTCTGCTCTAGGAGTATGCTGGTAAAATACCATGATTTTCTGAATGCTGCCATGCAGTCAAGTTCATGTTTATGTTCCCCAAGTCAACTTTCCTGGTAAGCACACCTGTTCCACTCTGGGTCTGTAGAACTGGTTATGGAAGTCTCTGCAATCAGATTTAGGCTTGAGGGATCTCTGAGGGAATGTTAGTGGTTGAACACAATGTCAGGTGGAATAGCAGACTGTGTTACAGTTGCTTTGAGATAAAGGTGACTTTGAAGCTGTTGCAAATGGAGCCCCTGTACAGACCTGGTGTAGGATATAAAGATCATCCTGTGGTTTTCCATCTGAGGAAGTTGATGGAATAATTACTGCAAAAGCTTGATGCAGAGGAACCTTTCTGGGACTTAGTAGAGAGGACTGGACTTGTATCTTAGTCTCTGGAGGTCATCTGTTCCAGGAACAGTCAGAGTACTGGCAGTTCTGCAGAGGGAACTGATAAGATTCTTTTGCCTTTTCCTTTCTTATAAATATCTGTACTGCATGATATGATGGACCAAGTGGCTCCTGCCATAAAGCTGTGTGCTTGGGTGTCTTAGTGTGACCCACTCTCTGTAAGAGGGAACTCAGCAAGAACTTTCCTGCCTCTTGAAGTATGTAGCCTGAAAACTGTAAACACTTGACCTGTTTTTCCTACAGATAGTAGTCCAAAATCTAGCCAGGTTCTGTTTGGATACTGTTAATTTTCTATGGATTCTGTGCTGCTAGCAGGGCTATTTTTCTAAAGTTCCATATGAATATTAATTGTCCTGAGCAAGTAGTTCAGAGTTTTGTACCTGTGTATCTGTACAGAGTGAGCTGGGCAGTAACACTTGTTCCCTTGCTTACAGGACTGGTACTGGAAATGTGTCTCTCCAGGCACCACCAGTGGTTGCTGACATGGAAGGGAGACTGAAGCAGGCAGTGGTGGCCTAAATGTGGATGTTTTCTGAGGATGAGAAGCAAAAAGACGGGGATGTTTAGGATGGCTTTAACTAGAAGCTCACTAGTCTAGGCCTCTGTATGCCTCTTCTACAGCAGCCTGGCTGTGATGTGAGATCTTAAAACAGGAGAGGTAGAGTCAACAAGGACAAGGTCTGCAGAAGAAAATACTTGATCTGCTCTTTATGGAGATAGCTGTTGGCCTCCAGCTTTCCCTCAATGTCAGCTTCAAGGCTTGACTTCAGCTTTGTTGAGCCTCAAAGCTGACTTGCTGTTAGTTCTTGCCATTGGCCTAATTCTGTTGTTTGTCATGAGGAAAGGCAAGTCAGTAACTGATCTGTTCCGTGGTAGCTAAAGAGCTGAAAAGTTTGAGGTGTCTTGAAGCTTGGCCCCTGCTGCCTGTTGGAAGGAAGTGTTATGCTTTGAGGAAAAATACAATTTTTCATCAACCAGAGTTGACTCATCTGTTCCCAGCCAGTGAAACATTTTCTACATTAACAGGTCATTCTAAGAAAAAAACAATAAAATATTCGATATGAAATACAGACAGCCAGTGTTTTATTTAAACTTAATAAAGGTTTTAAGTATTTGATGTAGACATGATGTTGTCACTCTACAGCAATTGAGATCCATGTCAGTTCTGAAAAGAGGAAAGGTACTTGCAGTGTACAGAGCTGCTGGCACGGCAACATTGGCACTGTTCTGTCACGTCATGAGTAGCTGATTTTAAATGAGGAATGTGTTCTAAACTTTGCTACAAGAAGCACCTGACAGCTGTTTTTTCCTGTAGAGGGGCTGCTTTGAGCATTCTGGTGGTATCTGCTCTCTGGCCTTCCATGAGGCATGCTATTTTGCTCTTCAGGTCATACAGAACATCACATGTACCCCAGTAAGGCAAGGATTATCTGTGTCCTGTAAGGGTGAGATTAATTCTTCAAGGTGTGGGCTCTGCCCAGGGTAAGCAGAATCTCCGGGGCAGGGCAGTGCAGGTCATAGCACAGAGCAAACCACTTTGGTCAGGGGAAACAGCAGAAGTGTGGGGAGAGCATATTGCTAATGTTATGCTTGTTTGTAGCTACTAAGGCTTGGGAAGTAGTCACTTATTAGCTGCTGTGAAGAGCAGTAGTAGAACAGGAGCTGGTGGCATGGGAGTGCAGCTGGTACTTGGCATGTTCACCTAACCACACAGATTGGCCCTGTGTGCCTTAGGGCCCTTGTGGGTAGGGATAAAGCTGTACTGAGTCAGAGGGCTGCAGTCAGCAGTGCTGTGCTCTGCTCTCCTTTCCCTTTCCTGTGGATATGCTGAGCATCTCTTGGGACTGGATAAAGTGAAAGGTTTGCAGAGCTTCGTATTTTTATAGACTTGCTGGAGCTGGGATCTTCCACTAAATGATTAGCAGACCTTGAGTGTCTGTGTGCTGAGAACTTGCCTCTAAGGTAGAGATCAGGAACAAAGTACCACTGCCAAAGACATTTGCCTCAACTAGGAGTCATTGGAGTTACCTGAGAAGAAACTAATGGAGCACCAACTATGTGAGTCTAGCACCTTATGCTAGTGGAGCTTTTTGAAGGGATGTTCCATTCCAGGAAAAAACAGAGGTATATAAGATCTTGTTCTGGAGAATGGTGAGAACATTTGCTGTCTCTTCTTGATGCTAAGGAAGTCAGTAATGAGTCAGTTTTAAGAGTGGCTTCTAGTTACTGCAGTAATGTCAGTGTGAAAAACTTCTGCAGCATGAGTGAGTAAATTCTATGTGTTGTGACTCAGTTCTAGCAAATTGTTAAAAGGAAAGAAATCTGCTTGAGTTCCCATTTTCAGAAAACTCATTTCAAATCAAGTAGTAGAGCAGAGCACTTCCACATGAGCTTGAACTTCTCTTGTAAAATAAATGTTAGGATTGCCTCCAGTCATACATACACTGCACATCTCTGAGCACAAACATCAGGTTTTCTGGAATAAGAGGTACTTTTGGATTTCTATCTGGCTTTCAGAAGAGCCTTTTACTTGGTCTGAAACAATGCTGTTACTGTAATGTGTGTACAGTCCATGAAAGAGAACCTGAGGGTATAGACTGAAGCTTTTAAGAACACAGCTAGAAAATACAGTTTCAGTTTAAAGAATGCAAAATACATGTGCTGCTGGGCAGCTGTATCTGTAAAGAGTGGGGTGGTTTGGATGGACTTTATGTAACTTTGTGGCTAATGCTAAGAGATTCTTTTCTATCACTGTTATTAAATGTATAGCCTTAACTGAAGTATTAAGGGGTAACTTAATATTTTGAGGTTTAATTAGCTCAAGATGGGGGAAAGTAATTTCAGCTCAATATATTTTTGTGGCTTCTTTTAATTTGAGTATCTTATTCTTAAATGGTAAATTACTTAATATGGTCTTATTAATTTGTTGAGCCAGTTTTTGTAAAGCAGAAAAATCAAGGAGGGTCAAATGAGCACTGAGTGATGCAGTGTTGGTGGTTTCAAGTATTGCACTAGCAGTTCTGCTGCAGACCGGGCACTCACCTGTTCACTGAAACTTCATCTTAACATGAAGAATTGGAATATAAAGCTTGAATGTGTTACATTTAACTGCACACTTCACTTATGTAGTGAAGGGTTAATTTGAATTACCAAATGCTAGTCTGAAAATAGAACTGTCAGCAAGGAATTTTTTTCAGTTTTTTTTTTGCAATGATGCCTTTGCTTGTGGCAGTTGAGAAATAATTAATCTTTCCAGGTCTATAATGACAGGATTTAGTGTCTCTTTGCCATGTGTAAGCTGCGATTAATTATTTTCCTCTAAAAGTGTATCGAGAGCTTGGAATTAGCTGATTTCTGTGCAATGCTCTGAAGAAAAAAATATATTATGGAATGTATTGTGCTTTTTCAGGTGGTTGATACATCCAAAAGTATTGCAGATGTTCCAGAGTGGTTTAAAGGCAGCCGTCTGAACTACGCTGAGAATCTTCTGAAGCACAAGGACAATGACAAGATTGCACTGTATGCAGCAAGTAAGGAAGAGTTAATGGCTTGTATTTATTTACAGTTCACAGGACTAGGTCTTATAAAACAGCTCACTGTTTATGAAACCTTGAAATAAACTGGCTTGGGTGAGGAGAAAAGAGGAAAATAAAATCAGTAACTCTGCAGAATCTGATACAGATCTGCAAAAAAGAGCAAAACATGCCCTGGAAGTACAGATAGAGTCCTTGGCAAACTCAAGTTAGTTTTAAATGTGCTTAACTGAAGTAATTCTTTGTTTAGCATCACTCAATATTTGATCTGTTACTTCACATTTCTCCAATACTTCCCTGATGCCTACTTTCAGGAGGTGTTCTGACTCTGCTTGATGCCTGCCTTCCCACCCTCTTCCTATGCCTTTTATTTTAAGAATACTAAGACTGCATGGGGCATAGGTAGCAATTAGCTCTGCTTTTGACAATACAGAAAGGAAGGAGTGACATGCATGGAAGATTTGGAATTTCACTTTTTTGGAACATTAGAGCTCAGTTTTGATTTTTTTGTGATGCCTGCCTTCCCACCCTCTTCCTATGCCTTTTATTTTAAGAATACTAAGACTGCATGGGGCATAGGTAGCAATTAGCTCTGCTTTTGACAATGCAGAAAGGAAGGAGTGACATGCATGGAAGATTTGGAATTTCACTTTTTTGGAACATTAGAGCTCAGTTTTGATTTTTTTTGTTTATTGGAGAAGATTTGAATCTAGTAAAATTGCTGTGTACTCATGAAGATGGTAATGTTAAGACAAGTCCCTCCTGTACCTCTGTTGGCTTTGATAACTTAAAAAAACTAATCTATTAGATGGGATTAGGTCTGTGCAGGTGTCAGTGCTTCCTTAAAGAGTTGTATTCTGAGCTTCCCTTTTGCTGGACCTAATCCTTATCATAAGACTGACCAAGCAGTGATGCTTCTTAATAGCTAAACAATAAAAAATGCAATCTTACAGCTCATAAACAGAGAAAAATATGCAGAACTATGGACTGATTGTGTGTTAAGTCTTAGTCTCTGATTTCTGACATCTGGAGGTCAGTTCTTAATTACATGTGTATTACTGTTCTGATAGGTGTTTATGAACTACATGAGACAGCAGTCTTGTTCTGTAACATCACTGCTGAAGAAATAATTAGCAGTTGCCTTTTACTGCTTAGAGGTATTGAAATAAACCTCTCTAATTATATAGATTAAAAATCAACTACCAGTTCAGGAAGAATGGGAAAATCTGACCCAGTCTTGGTGTAATAAGACAAAGGAGCAGAAATATTTTCTAGTTGAATACTGTGTCAGTGCTGGAGTGAACACACTTCTGTGGTGACCAGACTTCCACCTGCATTTCTTTTAATGACCTTCTGCTGTGTTTAATCTTCTTAAGGTCTCTTAAGTCCGAGTATTTTTTTGTTAACCCCTCACTGTTGGGTCAGAGTGGTGTTTAGGGAGGTTTGTGTATTCTCTGGGGATGATTCTGTGGGAGCAACCTGGGTATAACAGCACAGGAATGTAAAGGTCACTTTCCTAAACAATTTCACTAGTCACTGGCTCCCACTGAGTCTCTTGTTTGTGACCCCCTTCTCTTGGGGTTTTTAAATAAGGGAACAATACAACCGTCCTGTTTTCTGTTGTTTTAGGGGAGCACAGTATCTACCAGCAGTCCCTGTTTAGCATAGGAGCTACATGTTACATTGACTCCTGTTTCCCATCACCTGCTCTTTTGTTCCATGTAGGTTTAAATTTAGTGAGATGGAAGTCTAGGAAGGCAAAATAATAAAATACTGTTCCCTGCTTAAGGAAATCAGACTGATGGAATCTGTTTAGCAAGAACCTGCTGTACCAGGGCATGCAATACACCTTTATTGCAACATCCTTGGGATACGTGTGATAAGATGAGCTAGATCCTGGAACCAGGACAGGCCACATGGTTTTCAGGAGTCATGCTGAGGAATTACAGGAAGAGACCTTTAAGATGACAAACTTTGCCTTTCATAACATTTAGATTTGTTCAATTTATTTCATGAGTGATTTATTAACTGCTTATGTAACATCTGACATTCAGTACCAAAATGAAAACGCCCTGCAGATGTTTTTGGAGATGAATGGAGCCCAGTTGAATTTATTTGCTTTGAGGTGTGTTGGCAAACTTGGATGTTTGGAAAGCACATTGAAAGTCAAGCCTTAGTAACTATATGTGCATGATTTTCTAGTCAACATTGACTTGCTGTCATAAAATGTGATGTTGACACCTTGCTGGGCTTCTTAGACCTATTGAGAAAACTGAGCACAAAGGGAGAATGAGGTGGTTCTTTCCATGTTAGAAAGTAGCCTTGGAGAGTGCAATTTGTTAATCATAGATGCTCCTTGAGAACATACCTTTTGACAGTGAATAGTTTGTATTTTCACAAATGTGTTCCTGTCCTTAAATGTTCTGGTGCCAACTTAATGAATGCTACTAATTAATATTTTATTATCATGAAATAGAAAAGCTTGGTAGAGCATAAGAGGAGCTTGAAAAAGCAAAATGTATAATTATTGGAAATTCTTCTCCTAAAATTACTTCATATTCTTCCAGAATTAGTTGTTTGTATTAGACTCCATCTATGTTGCAATACATAATTTATAACTGGTTGTTTCAATCTTTCCTCAGAGGAAGGCAAGGAAGAAATCCTGAAAGTTACCTTTGAAGAACTGAGACAAGCTGTGGCATTGTATGCTGCAGCCATGAGGAAGATGGGAATAAAAGTAGGAGACAGAGTTGTGGGTGAGTAACATTTCTTTAAAGGACAAGAGGTGAAATTTTCTCAAAATATGCAAGCAAGTAGTCAGGGTTTCAAGAACATGAATAAAAAATATTTCACAGAAACATTCCAAAGAAAAATCTCTTATCCTGCTGTATTTACATTTGTAGGAATATGCTTCTAGAGGGAAGGAACCTGGAATAGCTTGCAAGTTCTTTAGCACTGGAGGGGGAAGGAAAATACCTCGCTGATGCCTTCACTGAGGTCTGCTTCATCAGCAGTCTGGAAGAGATGTGGGTCTTTGCATGTTGCTGAGCTGTGTCTCAAGGTCTGACAGATTCACTTGGTGGCAGTCATGGAGATGACCATCCCAGGCTGGTTGCTTCGTGTCTGCTGGCAGTTACTGCCCCTACAGCCCCAGGCAATGCAGTGCACTGGGAGTTACAGCTTCTGAGGGGTGGAATTGTCCTGCCTTATGCCACCAGGGCATTTGGGAGTAGTGTTTTCCAGAATGGTGGTAGTGAACAGCTGGCAAGGAGTAACTTTTCAAGTCATAGCAATGCAGAGCTTAGTAGTTAGAAACTTCTGAGAGTTACTGAAAGGATCCCAGATTTCTAGAGGAATATTTCCTGTCATAAGCATGTCATGTGGATTTCTTATATAAACAGTTGTTTGTCTTATGAGCAGTTTGTACAGTATACAGCCCAGGCATAGAAAGGAGTTGCTGGCCTCTGTCCATTTAGTTCTGAATTGCTGGTTTTGATCTTCCAGCTGAGCTGCTTCATGTCTACAGAGCACACAAAGTAAGATACATTCTTTAGTTTTGTCAGGATGGTGCAAGGCAGAACTGTCATATCCTGGAAGCTCCTTCACTCTTACCTGATAGTTCTGCTGATCTGCATATCTTACTACTGGATTCACATGTTCTTTGAGCAGTATTTGGCCATTATCCTAAGTATGTGTAAATTCTTCTATGATGCAAACACCAAGTGATGAAACTATTTGGTTTGTTTTCTGCATGTTACAAATCAGAATGAGTTCAGTAGCTTAAGCACATCTTGATGAGCAGTTATCATTCATTTCTGGAAGCAGGTTAAGATTATGCTTGGGGTCCTTACAGAGCCCTTTGCTTTTCATAATAGATTGAGTCTAGGCAGCCTCTTTTGTTTCCTTAAAATCATGGTACATTTTTGGGCTCAGGTAGAGCTTTTTAAAATATCTGGAGTATTCATGTGCTTTTCTGGGCAGTTTCTTATTTTACTTTATCTTACTCTGTCCTCTTACCCTTTCTGAGACTTTCTTGTAATCTTTGGTCAGATGAACCCATCAGTGGAGCTGTTGGGCAGTTCTTTCTCCCTCCCTTTCCCTGGTGCCTCCAGTCCTGGACTTGTGACTCTGACAGATTGCTTTGCCTTGGGCAGCAGCCCTCATCTAGGGAGAGCTTCCCTGTGAAAGAAATAGAATGGGATTTTTGGCAGCAATCCAGCTATTTAGATAGATTTTTTTTAAAATCTGGTCTCAGCTTCTTTCATATGTTTCTCTCCTGTGTCAGAGGATATTGGCAGCCCTTGGAAGAGCTGAAATATAACATCAGGGCTTGAAACTGCAGGCTGTTCTCCAAATCCCAAGTTGAAATGGGGAAAAGATGTTAAGTGTTGGGGGAAAAAACTGAGTCATACACCCACTTATGGTACCAAACATCAGGCTCTTCAAAGCTTGCCAAAAATCTATTGGGACCTAATTTCTGCCAAAACTTATGGCAGATGGAAGGGTGATTCTTCATGTGGTTTGCAGCAGTAATACAGGGCAGGCTTCTGAAAAATTACCTTCTAAATGGAAGGGAGATAAATTAATTTTATTATAGTTGCTTGACATCTCATCAGCCTGCTGGGCTCTGATGTCCCTTGTTGCCACTTTCTCCTAAAAGCACTTCAAATCTTGAGCTGTTACAATCATATGTGAGACCATTAATGTGGTTTTATTGTGCATTTTCTCTCCATGCTTTACTGCCTCTAAGACAAGGCTGCCTTAACTTTGCATTGCCCTTAGCATATCCCCTGCTTTGTTCAATACGATTTACAGTTGCATCATGACTGTAAATAGTGTGTTAAAGTTGGAGGTGGGTGAATGTGGGTGGACAAGCAGCACTGTCAGCACTTGATCAGCTTGATTTCATCCCAGTCCTCCCTTTTCATCACTAAAAGGGATAGCACTTAATTGTAAACATGACTGAAGCAGATGTGTGGTGGAACATCTCTCTTATTCTAAAGATGGCTTATGATGCTGCTCATGATGCTGGAACAGTTGGATACTGCACCTAATGCAGGCTACACAAATCCACATGTGAAGTACTGGTGGTCTCCCACAGGCTCTCTGGCAACTAGCAGTGACTGCAGCAAGAGTAAGATATCTGTTGATATCTGTTTTTCACCTCTGAATAGGTTGTTTCCATTCTATCCCTGTAGCCAGCTTTGTTCTCTTACAAGTCAGCAGATAAAAACAAACTAATCTTCCCCATGTGTTCACACAAAAAATCCTCAACAAAACATCAATGAGTTACATTGTTTAAAGCTGGTATTTTATCTATAGTAACTGTATTAGCCCTAGTTGCTTACGTGGGTTTTAAAGCTAGCTTTGTAAGAAGATTAGTGTGTTACTAATAGTCTCAGGCTGCAGCAATACTAGGTAGGATGACCAGTTTGCAGTCCTACAGGAGTATGAACTGCTATGTTAACATGAAAAAGAGAAACTGGAAGTCTGATCTTTGGATTGTCTGTTTTTTCTGAGAGCTGGTGTTGGATATGATGAGCCATTGAGAGTCTATTTAATTTGCAGCTTCCCAGGTCCCTTCCTCCTGATGCATTCTTCCAGGGCTCAAACTAAATCCTTGATGCAGGGTGCAGGTGTGGTGTTTTCATTCAGATGATTATGGATGTTTGGCTGCTTCTGTTTCTGGGTACACATGTAATCTGCTATATGAAGACATTAAATGCTTGCAGGAAATGTTCTCAGCATGCTCAGAAATGAGACTTTTGATAGTTTCCAGCATGATTATACCATAAATTTTTTTTAGACTTTTCATCTATTCTGCTGGTGAAGTCCTGCAGTGTAAATGAACAAACAAGTTTAATCCCAGTATATGCTAGATTAAGTAAATAGCCACTGACAGAAAATGCTGTCCTCAGCAGGTCAGGCTGTAAGTGCCTCTTAAAAATCCACACCGTGTTTTGAACATATCAGTTGTCCTGCTTAGAGATTTGTCATGGGTTTTTTACAGTACAGCTTTTATTTCTTTCTCCTTATGGAGATTCTGTCCATAGTTAGAGTCCTGCCAGGACCCTTGGTGTCATATTCTGAAATCCTAGGTACTAGGTTCCCAACTCTCTTATTTTGAGCACTATTCAGTTGCTTTCTAGTTCACCCAAAGAAAGTGTGAAGATCTTGCTCTTTCTAGTAACAGAAAGTAGCTTCCACCTATATTACCTTTTAAGGAAGGGGTAAGTTAAGATAGAGAGAAGTACCTTTCACAGACTTTGCCCATGTTGCAAATGCCAGTTTTGGTCCTTAGTTGAAATGTTGTATCAAGGAACATGATTCTGGGTAAATATGTGAAAAAACATAAGTATTTAAATTAGCTGTGCCATTATTCTTCTGTATACATGACACTGTTCTGTGACCCCTGATAATGCATCCAGCTATGAAAGTTGGATTTTTCATCATTGTTGTCAGCAGCATTCTTGTTTACTACATTTTAGAAGCTTATGACCTGTGTCAGCCTGCTGAAAGCTTTGAGGAGTCAGTTCATATTTCAAGGGGCACAGTCAAATGCAGGGAGCTTTATGTATGACAGTTGCTGTAGTTGGTTTGCAAAATCTCTGATGTGAGAAAGGGAGAGATCTTTTATTTCTGAGAATCCAGTTTTAACCTGAAAGATTGACCAGAGACATACTTGGTGGCATTTGGATCTGGGAGCTGTTGAGAAGAGCAACAGGAGTTCTTACGTTGCTATGTTTGAAGGATCCCTTGCTAGAACAGAGCCACATTTCTATTCATAATACCAGGTGTTGGGATACATGATACATGAGAAGCCTGGTGAGCAGGCAGGCTGGCTGCCTGCAGTGATCAGGCAGATACAGAAATGTAGAGTAAGTTGCCTTGCATGTTTTATACCTTTTGGCAGTTTTGGCTGATACCTACAAACTCAACCACCACCTCAAAGACAACTGACAAATGAAAGTAATCACTTAATTGTCTGGCTCACAATAATAAGCAGAGACTTATGTTCTTGCTTTGAGGACTTCTGTAGAAGCTGTGAAAAGAAGAACTTGCTTATAATAGAACTGATGCTTCTTCTGTATAATAGAACTGATGCTTGTAAGAGGCAAGGTAATAACTGCTCCAAAGCATGCAGAGATGTCTTCCAGTTTTAATTGCCCTCCTGAGAGTTTCATTCAATAATTGTTTAGTGGAAATATTTAGCATCAATCAAAGAACTGCTTCCATCACACAACATGACATTTAAGTCTGTTTTGGTTAATATTTCTTGATTTTTAACACTAATTTTCAGGGAGGGAGATTTCTCTTGAAAGAAAAATCACTAAAATTTTGGAGTATTCTACCTTGTCTCATAAAACTTGACCCTAAGGGGAAACTAGCAGAATAAAGAATGCCTTCATAGGCTTGAGGTTTTTCCTGCATTTTAGATACTGAAGAACTTCTCTGAACAAAACACCACAAACTAGGCAGTTCCTTAAAATGGCATGAGGTTTTTATTAAGTTTTTCCAGAAATTGTTGAGCTGAAGTCACGATGCTGTTTTCAAACCTGCTACTCCCAAAAGCACAGTAGCTTACAGATCAACTGAAGTGGCCAAGATGGTCTAAGAAACTGATCTCACTGATTTTTCAATTGTGAAGGAAAATCTCAGTTTAAATTAAGACTTGCTCTTAAAGTCTACCTTTTGCAAAGGTGAAAAAGGATAGATTTTTTTTCAAGCTGAGTAAAGATACTGGCAAAAATAAATATTGATACCTTCCTACTTGATAGTTATTTTAATAAATTCCTATTAAAATCTGATCTTGGTTTCTGTCCTGAAAGGTACATCCATAAATATCTTTGACAAGTGCCTAGCACTAGGGAGGTTTTTGCTGTCAGGTAGGTACTAGGTACTTTCAGGTGGGGCACTTGAAACTCCTACTACAATCCAAGGTTTGTCAGTGCTCACCACTTTTAAATGGATTGGAAAGCAGTTTTATTGTCCTTGAAACTTGCTTTCAAACACAGAAATCTAATTAGATGTCCAAGTGCTGCAATTAGGCCTTTTTGGGTCTTTTTTTTAAAGTACATGAACATCTTTTTGATTGCTTCAGAAGGATCTGGAACTCCACATTTTTTACGTGATTCAGTGTAGCTTGTGAATTTCAGGTGCATGTTTTGTGGGTTGGATTCCAATCAGTTGAGTCAATCTCAGCCCCCCAGCACCTTTTGTAGAGTTGCTAAAATAGAGCCACTGAAAATACAACTTAACTGACATTTTTTCTTCTGTAGATAAACTGAACTTCAATTTTGCTGCCAGCTAATGAGAGAAACCTGAAGAGCTACATTTCTGTGGGAATGTTCCCTGGCTTGTCTCTCTGTATTATTTCCTTATCAGCTGAGACACTGGTTTTGCTTGTTTGTGCTTAAGATTCTGACAGTGTCTACCAGACAATGTTTAGCTTTGTAAAGCTGAATATCTGCTTTAGAACTGAGTATTTATCATCTTTCCTTTCAGATATTTGTTCTTTGTCAAACAGCAGTTACTACAGACCTGTTCTGTTCTTCTGTAGGGTTCTGTGTTCTTAATATCTATGTACTGTATTTAATCCATAAACTCACTCTTCTAGTTCACCTTCTCAGTGTGCTGCCCTCTCATCCTGAAAGTCTCATTAATTAAGCAGAAACACTTGTAAATTTTGAGTCACATTGCTGATATAAAACCTGGTGCAACTATTTTTATAAATGGAATGATTTCTCATTCCTTGTCTAACTGTTTTGACTTTGAAAGAGGTTGTTAAGGATGCTTCAGTCCAGGATTTTTAACTTTTAAAAATCTGTTTGAACTGTCTATTGTGTACATTATTTTTACTGTAAGATGTATTTGTTTTCTTCCATCTATAACCATTCAAATTCTGCTATAGGGTACCTACCAAACAGCATCCATGCAGTGGAAGCAATGCTGGCTGCTGCAAGTATTGGTGCCATCTGGAGTTCAACATCACCAGACTTTGGCATTAATGTGAGTAGCCTTATTACTGTGCTGCAGAAAAGCTATCCTTGTGTTTCAGACAGCTGTGAGGGTGATAAATTAAAAGTGGCAGACTTTGTTCACTTTAGTCCTGCTGCCACCTCCTGGCACTGTCAGGTACACTAGGTTTTTTCCCCTACCACAAACTGAATGACACCCGACACTTTCAGTTGCCAATAATGACTTCAAGCGTGGTAATCTTTAGCTAACTCACTGTTGGGATATTTTTGGGCAGAGTCCATCGTCTTGGAGAGTTTTTATTATATTAAATGCACAAATGAGCAGCAGTGCAGCAGAGTTGTCTGGGACTTAGCCCTTCCTTCCCAAGTCTTTCCCCAGGCTGCTTAGCCACACTTATTCCTTTGTCTAAGTAGCCTGTTCCTATGTGGGTAAACTGAGCAACACCCCAGTTGGCCTTTTCCAGAAGGCTTTATTTGCCAACAAGGTGGGGAATTTCAGACTAATATCACTAACCTGTTTAACTTCTCAGTGTATGAATAAATGTTGTGTGTAAAGTATGGTAAAAATTATATCCAAAAAGACATCAGTGTCCATGGAAGCTTTAGGAATATATTATATTTTTCTTGGAAAGCCTTTAGCAGACATCAAAAGCACCAACAGATCCAAATCACTTCTAATGGAGTGTTGAAGTTTTCTTTTATCCAAGAGTTTGCATGGAAGCATTTGGAGGATGTGCTGTTTGTGCTTTGCAAAACACAGAAAATACCAAAGCTTTTAGGTAACACATACCCACAATCCCGGTGTTTAACCCCACTAGCTTGTTAAATTTATGGAACTGTCCCGCCTGGATCAGCACTAGAGGGCAGCAGCATTCCATGCTGCTACACTTCACGCTGTAGCATTGGGGAAAAAAAAAAGATTAAAAAATCATTACAGCATGTAATGATCAATCTGTTCTACAAATATTGTCTGCTTGCTCAGAAAATGACAGTATGGAGTATTTTCTTTGCAATGTGATTTGATCTCTCATCTAGAGGAAGATTGTTCATTTTGCTTGCAGCACAGAGGACTGGTATGGGTTCTGTCCATGTTGATGTGCTGTTATTATCAGTGCTCAGCTTTATTTAGTTTTTCTGATAGTTTTTAAATGAATCTCAGCCTTGGAGCAGCAGCGCCATTGATATAATTGATTACCCTTTGGCTTGGCAGCATGAGTTGGCATGAATTCAAGCACTAAAATCTTAAGGGAGATCAGCAGAGGTCCTGAGGGATATTGAGTTCCACCCTAAGGAAAAAATATTCCTTCTCCTGTGCCGCTGCATTAGTCCTGTTAATATAAATGAAGATTTTGATTGTGTTTTAGGCAATAGTTTAGGGTTTTCAACACTTCAAATCCAATTGTGTGTGTATATTTTTTGTGGAGCTTAGAAATGTCACTTCTCAGAGCTGCCTACACATTGCAGGCTCTTAATGCCACACATCCAGAGACTTTGCAAGTGTTCAGGAAATCTGTCAGAGAACCAGTGAGCTCCCTCCCACGCAGGATGCCACTCTTGGCAGCATTTGCTTCATTTCTCTAGTCCCTGTTACCCATTTCTGTGTATTAATAGGAAAGTGGTTCTTAGTGGCCTTTGAATTCTTGGATCTGTAAGTTTAAAAAGAGGCTCTGCTCTTAGAACCATGCAAGAAACCTTTAGTGACCCCTTCCAATGTCAGTGCAAGCTCCATTCATGGCCTCTTGCACCATTTTTAGCAGTGGATTTGAGGCTCATAGAGTAGAATGAGCCATATCTGGTATACCTGAGCTTTTTCATGAAATCAATTCCTTACTGAACCATCTGGTTGGATTAAAGTTCCAGTGTAGCAATTACATGTTCCATCTGTTTGTGTTGCCTTTGTATCATATCAGGCTGCCCTGTGGGATTTGATCCTGCCAGTGCTAATGAATCCAACTGGGTATGTTAGCAGGATCAGTAAGACCCTGAGAATTGTAGACGTCTTTGTATCAGATTCGTACTTCTCTTCAGCTTTGATTCTTCAGTTAGAGAAGAAGACTGGTGCAGTCCTTTCACTGCATCAGACAGCATGGATATGGGGCATGTATTTGCACACACTATGTATATACCCATGTGCTGTGATTAACTTGGCAGCTTCCTCCATTTCTTTCAGAATGTTATGAAGGAAGTAGGTATGGCAACATACATCTTCACTTCATGCTCCCTTAGAGAGAAATTTAATGTCTTAAACCTGCATTTCTAAATTTGTTAGCTAGTGTGTTAGGGGCATCTGCCACCAAAACAGGGTAGACAGGAGTTAGGTGCTTATCCTCTGTAGATGAGTTTCTAAGTCTGCTCAAAGTGAATTTTTAACTGCTTACATAGCTCTGAACTTGATCCTTTAGTGAATGATGTTCTGTAATCTGTGACTTTATCTTTGTTGGTTGATATATTTAGGGGTCATGAAATAGATGGCTACAAATGTGTTGTACTTTAAAGCTCTTGGGTGAGTGAAAGACCAGCAGGCAGTCCTCTAACAATTCCCCAACTAATTTCTGCCCTTATTCTTGCATGAATTGAGTTGCATTTAGCATCCAGTGTTTTCCTACTGTAGCAGTTAATCTTTTAAAATTTGTTTTTCTCTTTGTACCTAGGGTGTGCTTGACAGATTTTCCCAAATTCAGCCTAAGCTCATCTTCTCTGTTGAAGCTGTTATATACAATGGCAAAGAACATAACCACTTGGAAAAGCTGCTGAGTGTGGTAAAAGGTATTTCATTGCATACCATCTAGTCTGAGTTATGCTGTGGTTCTGTGAGCTCTCTAAGCCTGCACTGCCACTAAAAGTGACAGTTTTGACTGCTTGTTGCTGTCCTTCCTCCTTTATAGTATCTCTGTGGCCACTTAAAATTTTAAAACTAAGTTCAGTAAAATCTAACCAGTCTTCTGTGTAATTTTAGCAGAGTTTTGCTAGCTTAGCTTAAATATATCATAATAAATTAAGTAGTGGAACAGGGACTCATGATATTAAGGCCAAGTGAAGTGCTGCTGGAAACAAATGAAGAGGTATTGCAGCACTAAAGCTTGCAGATTTACACATATATTTTTAAAAGGCTTACAATTTTGAGGAAAATGTATCTTGGGTAACAATCTTCTGGGGTTTTTAACATGGAAAACTATATCCAATACTCAGTAGCTCAGGTTTGTTACTTTAGTGCATTACACTTGTATGAGCCAATCAGACAGAAAAGACTTTTGGTCTTCTTCCAGGACTTCCAGATCTAAAAAAAGTGGTGGTGATTCCATATGTCTCCTCAAGAGAAACCATTGATATTTCTAAGATTCCAAACAGGTAATGAGAGCTCTTGAGCTGTGACTGTCCTAAATAGGGATGAAATGGATGCTGATAAATATTGAAACTGCCTGACCTCTTGCACTGGCAAAAGTCTGGATTTAGCCAGGTTTCTTCATGTGGGTCCAGCTTCATACTGAAAATAAGCAGTATGTTGCTGCAGGTGATTTGCTTTGACAAAACCAATGTGAGTATTAATGGCTCTAAAATGAAGGAAAAAAAATTGATATGATATAGCAAGGAGAAGAAAGGGGCTTCCAGAAGTGAACAACAAAGAATTTCAGTAACATTTTTAGAGAAATTCTGCATGTTTACTGCTCTGGATTACATGCTAAATACCTTTTAGAAATGCTGTAGCTCCAGACTTCATGTTGAGGGCAAGATTGTTCTAGATTGCTTTGAGCTTTTGAGGCTGGCAGCTGATCATAGGGTGCAGATTTATTGGTTTGATTTTGTTGTGCTACTTCAATATTATACTAATACTTCATTTTAAAACAGAAAAAAGAAACAAAGCAATTAGCAATTCAGAGTAGCAAAAACTAGAAATAAAAATGATATATATAGCTTATTGTAAAGGAGCTATTAGAGTTAATCTTAAAATGAGCTGGGGTAATGATTAAAAATAAAATATTCCTTTATTCTCTTCTTAGTGTCTTTTTAGAGGACTTCCTTGCTACTGGGAAAGGAGACCAGGCCCCCCAGCTGGAGTTTGAGCAGCTGCCATTCAGTCATCCTCTCTTTATCATGTATTCATCAGGCACAACAGGGGCACCAAAATGCATGGTTCATTCAGCAGGGGTATGTTTGCCTTCCTGGAGCTGCACTTTCTGTATTTAACTGCCTGGGATACTTTTTTCCTTAACAGTGTCATATCATAATGTACTTTAAGGAAGAATTGATTGCTGACAGCTTTCAGGAGCTTGTCATGAGACTTGGTATTTGTAAGTGACTGTTTGAAAGCAGATATGCATTAATAAGGAGATAATGGTTTAGAAACTGGTGTGAAGACCTTGCAGAGATTTCAGCTTTTTCTTGGGATGTAGCTACTAGTAGCAATAGCTATAGGTAGGTGGCAGCATTGGGACAGTGTAGTGTATTCAAACAGTAGCAGGTGAATTCAGATCTGGTTCCTTTGAGTTGCAGAAAGAAAAGATTGACTCCTTTATTTTTAATGTTTTTTGCCTTTTCTCCTGAACCATGTGCTGGTTTTATGACTCCTTTTCAATTTCTAGTGTTTATCTGTAATCTGTTTTCTTTCAGCATAAATCTTAGGAGGCTCTTAGTAGTTCCACTCTAACTCCATGTGTAAATGCAAAACCAATCTTTATAATAAAATTAACTCAGTTAGTTTGTCACTCCAGTGAAGTGACTTAGTAAAGTAGTTTTTAAATTTAGTTATCCTAACAAGTTAGACTTCAATAATTATTGGGAAGGTACTTCAGTATTTCCAACAAAAGAGAAAAGGAAGTAATATATTTAACTACATTATTTATGTTTTGGGCTGTGGTATTTTTCACATTGCTAATCACTTCAGTGTCTACAAGAGAGGTGTACAGTTAGGTCATTTGTCACTTGATCTTAACAGATAGTTTGGATGAATATTGTTACTGTACAACTCCAGATCCTTCATTCTTCCCACTTGCCTAGATATACTGAAAATGAAACTGTCCAAGGACTTACCTTGGAAAATCTTGACTGGTAAAGCAAGCTGTTCAAATTATAGCTTGTGTGGAGTGCTCTGCAACTCTGATGGCTGGTCAGAGTTGGAAGTGAAGGAAGATGGTTTTCCCATGGATTACAAGTGATGTGCAGTAGGATTTGATGGGGCCTAATGAGAGAGGTTGAAAAATTGTGTGAGAAAATGGAGGATGCAATTGCTGCTGTAGACTGGCCCTTGGTTTTACATCAGCTGTGGTTAAAGGAAACACTTGACTGAAATCCTGGAATACAAGCTGTGAAGAACTGACAACATTAGGGTTTTTAAGTCTTAATGTGCTGTCAATTTTACTTTTCAATTAGATGAGCTCATGTTTTTCTCTCACTCTTTTTCAGGGTACACTAATCCAGCACCTGAAGGAACACATTCTTCATGGCAACATGACCAGCAATGACATTATTATGTACTATACAACGGCAAGTGTGGCTTAAGACATTTTTAGAACACTAATACATTTTGCTTACAAAGATGGAGAGCTTTTCCTACAAATCTACAAGTGCATTTTGATGTATTTGTAATTGTTTTACTGCAAGGGATTGTCTTAAAAGAAATCAGGTGAACTATTGAAATGCAACAGGGACCTTTCTAGTGAAAGGTCAAACTCATGTTAAAAGTTTCTGATCAAATTACTGAGGAAAATGGATTGATGTTTAGTCTCAAGTTTATTGATCTACCCCCTTAATATCACCTGCAAAACATGCTCCACTTTCCTGCATCATGCAAGGTTTGTCAATATTGAAGATTGTTCCCAAGTTTTCTATGACTGTAGGAGTTTGAGAAGACTGTCTTCCCACAGGAGTTCCTTTCTGAACTTTAACAGTACTAGTCAGTTTGTAATATCTCTGTGTAGGATTAATTATTACCTTGTCCCAAAGTTGTCCTGTCTCTTGACTCGTACTTTGAAGGTATGTGTACAGGGAGGTGTGGAATCCTCATTAGGTATTTGTAAGCATAAGTTAGATGAAGATCCACCAGGAACACAGAGCTGAGCCAGGCTTGGGAAAGGTGAGAGGCCAAACAGTGCTTCAGCCTTATTTTCTGGTTACTGAATGTTGCAGTTAGATATAATCAGCAAAGATGAGCAAAAATTCAGGTGTTGGTTTAACAGGTTCTTAAAGCAGGGAACCTTAAGGCAAGGGAAGTGGAGGGGGAAGATGCAAGTTCTTGCAGAGGGGCAGGGAGCATGTTTTGGTCCAGATGGTGCTCAAAGCCTACACCTCTCCATTTTCTAGAAGCCTGTAGCAGACAGGTAGCTGCCCAAGACAAACTGATGTAGGTATTTTCTCTTTTCCAGACTGGCTGGATGATGTGGAATTGGTTAGTGACTGCACTTGCTACAGGAGCTTCAGTGGTCCTGTATGATGGATCTCCTCTAGTTCCATCACCAAATGTGCTCTGGGACTTGACTGACAGACTAGGGTATGTAAACAACATGAAATAGGAAGATAATATTTTCTTACGCAGTCATTATAACAGGAACAAAGCAACCTCATTAAAAGTGTCATTACCTTGATCAAAAACTAGTATGTGGCATGACATTGTTCATCTTTTGGTTTAGCCTTGAGTGGAACTACTTTGTATAATTTTGTACTAAAATGTTCTTTGAGAGACAGCAGAGACACAAAGAGCTGGTTGTTCCAAGTTTGAGTTGAGTGTTTGGATTCCAAGCAAACAAAGACTTTTGGTTCAATAGTCAGTTTTCAAGAGCAGCCTTTTGAAAACACAGAAATTGGAAGCAATCTAAAGAGTAATTTCTGAGCACACTCAGAACTTGGAAAATAAAAATCCTTTATTTCAAAGCAGCTCAGCATAAGACTCAGTGTATAACTTCAACTTAAAGACATGAATTGACTGGGAAGGCTCAGCAGGGTTGCTCATATTTTAATATTTTGCTTTTTAATCTCTAATGCCTAATTCTCCCTGTCAAGCTGTTAATTGTTTTGCACAGTTCTTTGTGCCTAAAGATGCTCACAGTACCCTCTGGCAGCCTAGAGACATGCCAGGTATTGGATAAACCTGAAAAATCCTGTGCTGGTGTTGAGCTGGTTAAACTTGGATATTTTTTTTGTTTGGTAACTTTCCTGTATTGCTGGATGTAAGGAGTAGATATGAATGGTATTACTGGTAGAAGGAATGTAATTTTTAATAACTAAAACTCAGTTGTAATAAAAAATGGATGCCAAAAGATTGCCTTTCTGACTCTAACTAATAATTTAAACATCACTGTCTTTTGTGACATGTAATACTTAAAGACTGACATTTTGTCTCTGGCTATTACAGCTGAAGGTTAATGCCTAGTCAGAATGCTTCCAGTACAAAAAATAACACAAACCCACAAGCTTAAGACATCCCCCAACCCCCCCCAATAAAAAATGGATGCCAAAAGATTGCCTTATTGAAAAATAACACAGCTTATTTTTAAGCATTGTTTCTACATGCCAAAAGTAAGTGAAGATAACTGAAATGTGTCTGCATGTCTCACTTTGGTAATCTGGTGCTAAGTGGTGGCCATCTGTGTGGTACTTGATAATGCAGTCTGTTCCCAACTCAGTCATATGTTACATATTTAAAAAAAAGGCTTCAACATGTTAAGACTACCTTACTTGTCTGAAGACACACCATCCTTCCCTTCAGATAGCATATTCTTGTAGTATCATCAAGATATCTCATACTGCATGACAAGAATTACTTCAGAGGACATCAGCTGAAGATCTGCTCCTGAAGTGTGTTTAGTCACCATCCAACAATTAGATAGCATTTGGAAGGAAATAACAGGAGACTAGTAGAATTGTCAAAGAGCTTAAAAAGAGAAGGATTGTGTTCTAACTGGAAAATAAGCAGTAGTTTGAAGCATTGAAGTAAAATGCTGCACAAGAGTAAAAGTTCACAGGATTGTGGTGCAGTGTAACTGGGGGAGTAGCTATACCTCTGAGGGCTCTCATGGTCCTCTTCTCATGAGCCTGATAAATTGCTCTGTGCACCCATGTATCAGTGCAAATAGCCTGTCTGTCCCTCCCCCAGAGGTGGGATCCTCTGAGGAACTGTCATCCATCCTCCTGAATGGCAAAGTAAGACATCCCTTTTTGATAGTGTTGAAACAGTCCTCTCTGTGACTGAAACTGTTATCTCAAGAGCTGTTCTACCTTCCATCTTGCCTTTGGAGTAAAAGCAAATATGGCATGATCTTATATTAAGTTCTACTGATGGATGTACTGCCTGTGATCTGTGCACTCAGACTATAGCCCTTTATCTGTCTCTCTGCATTTTCTTGAGTGAGTTTATTGCTGTAATATAAAGTGAATTAGCAGAAGGCAGCAAAGAGGATTTTCTGAAAGTCAGCAGAAGCACTAAACTAGTACTTCCACTGATAGAGCAGGGAAGGGGTGCAGCCTTCATTTCAAGTTCTAATTATGTTGTATTGGAAAGCAATAAATATACTCTTTCCAAGGGCATAATTCAATTATTCAATTACTAGGCCAAATTGCACGTTCAGTTAGGCACCTGCAACTCAAGACTTCACATCAGTGAAAGCTAAGCAGGTATCCAAAAGGAAATCACTGGCTGCTGTGTTCAGAGTGAAGTGTTCTTTGCTAAACTGTGCCCTGAAATGGCAAACTTCTTATATGTAAGAGTATAACAAGGGAGCAGTTTGATGTTAAACAGCTCATTGGCAATTATGGCCCATTAATGAAGTAAACATAATATCTTGAGATGCCTTTTAAAAGCATTCCTGTAAATATAAGTGAATGTTCTCCATGAGGGTGGAAAGCTTTACTTAATATTTAAAGACAGAATTAAAAGTCTCAAAGCTGCAGAAATGACATGTGGTCTGACCAGTTTTGATTGCTCAAAAGATGCTCCTTGGAAAGCTCTGAGACTGCCTTGCTTGACTAATCAATGTACAGAGTGTCTACAGCCCCTGCCTACTGCAGGGACAATTGCAAGCCTTTAGAATCTTGGCATATTTAAATATGCAAAACACTTAATCTTTTTCCCCTCTAGGATCACCATCCTTGGAACAGGTGCAAAGTGGCTGGCTGTGCTAAAAGAGAAAAATTTGAAGCCATGTAAGTGTCAAAAAGCTATTGAATCCCTCCCTCCTGCTTTTCCTCTCCAGGCTCTGGCCCTGGTATCTTGTCACAAAGTCCTCTGTGTAATTATTCTGGATTGTAGTGACAAACAGCTATGAACTCCTCTGAAGATTTTACCTTACCCTATTTTGTTGGTTTATTTTTAAGGTGAAACACACAATCTCCAGACACTCCACACTATCCTGTCTACAGGATCACCTCTCAAACCTGAAAGCTACGACTATGTCTACAAACACATAAAAAGCAGTGTCCTCCTGGGATCCATCTCAGGTGATGTTTCCATGCTGGGTGCACCTCACTAGTTCTGACCATTGTCTGGACACTTCCTTCTTGCTGCTGTGTATTTGGGAAGTTTAAGTCTTGGCTCATTCAGGCTTAGTTATAGTTAAACTGGAATTAATTGTCTTTTCAGTGCGGAGATTTTCTGCATAATTTAGTGTGCTCATGCCCTCCAAGGCTTTGAGGTGGAATGATTCTGAGGTGGTGGATGTTTTGGGGTTTAGCTTTTATTAAGCAGGATCATTTATTTTGACTGGCTGTCCTTAGGGGTAGCTGGGTGAGATCAAGAAGAGAGTCTATTAACCTATAGAACATACTGTTCTGCAAATAGCTGACTTTAGCAGAAAATACCTGTTGGAGAGGTTTTTCTGTGCTCCCATTTCAGTTCTTTTGTGCCAAGTAATTGGCACTGCGGACAGATTTTTTTGTAAATTATGTAATTAGAGAAATATCAAGCCCACATACTGTGCAGTTTGTTGTGAGGAGCACGAGCTGAGCCAACTTCTATTCACATAAGGTCCTTTATAGAGCTCCTCATTCTGCTTTGTAATGAGAACTGACTTTTTCAAAGGGCTTTTAAACTCAGTTTAGTTAGATTTTTTTTTTTCCAAGTCTGACTATTCTCTTGTTGAAATCACCTCTGGCTCTGGTCATGGTAAGACTAATGCTGAACCTTGGGTTTGCTACTATGGATGTTAATACTCTCAAATGCAGAAGACTATTTTTGAATAAAGTTCACATGGATTTGTCTTCTACTTTTTAAGTCTTAATCATCTAGTTAAATAAGCACTTTGTCAGTATTTTTATTAAGATAACTGTTCATCCTATAGACATGGCTTCCCTCCCTTCCCTTGTTCTCAAGATAGAAAAGCCAAGTAAATATTGACTGATCACTTTAAACTAATGAAAACAAACAAGGTAACATTTCTAAGTGATCTTAAATAGCTAAGTCTGTAGACTAGGACTGCTCTGTTTTCTCACTCTTATGTGAACAGAAATTTCCTTAAATGAGATTAAAGAACCTGTTGGTACAAGTTATGCCTTAGGGAATATTTCCTCATGAAGGACATAGATGTGTAAAAAAGGCATTTAAAATAAGAGTAGAAACCTTCTATTAAGTCACATAACATCCCAAATAACTGTCTGTTCGATGCTGATCAGTGTGGATCAGAAGCATTCAGAAAGGGTGACAGTTTACTCTTCTACAGTCCTTATGTGGTATTCTCTTCCTTTTTCCAAAAAATGTTGTGTATTCTAAATGGACTACTTTTATTGTAGGTGGAACAGATATAATTTCCTGTTTCATGGGTCAGAATGTTACAATTCCAGTTTACAAAGGAGAAATACAGGCCAGAAATCTTGGAATGGCTGTAGAAGCATGGAATGATGAAGGTAACTATTATCCAAAATATTATGCCTGCTTAGGAAATACTGTAATTATGTGATCTTGGGTCTTGTTCATCAGGTGGGTAAGCAGTCACCTCTCTAATGGCTGATTTCACTTGGGAAAAATGTTACACAAAACCTGAATCTGGATCCATCTGATATGGATCATATAGAACTGCAGTGAAGATAAATGTGGAAAAAGGTCCTCCTTTTCCATTGCTCTGCTAAATAAAATCAAGGTCAAATTCTATTTTCTGGTTTGTGTGCTAATTAGCCATGTTGCTGTGGATGCCAGGCTGGCTTCCACCCTGTGGTGTAACTCTGCTGATGCTGAGGTTGAGATGAGTTTAGGAATTGAACATGAGCTGGGACTGGCAGTCTGAACAGCTTATCTCTTACCTACATGCACCTCTGGCATGTAACTAGTAACTATAGATGCACTTTGCTTTGGTACCTTCCTTACAGAAGAGATAAATGCAGAAAATACCTCTTTCTTTGTAAACAGGAAAACCAGTCTGGGGTGAAAGTGGTGAGCTGGTTTGTACCAAGCCTATTCCCTGTCAGCCCACACACTTCTGGAACGATGAGAATGGGAATAAATACAGGAAGGCTTATTTTTCAAAATTCCCAGGTATGTAATGAGGGGCTTTGGATACAGGTCAAACTGGCCAAGGACACAGACCATATTGCTGCTCTGAGGAAGGTGCAGGTTTAGTCTTGCCCAGTGATAGGCAAGTACAGCTTGAAATCTAGATGTCCAGGGCATCTCCACAGCATATTTCATAATATCTCACACTTGTTTTCTAATGCTACATTTTGAATAAGGATCCAAATCAGTTTAATAAAAAAAATCTCTGGACAGCTCCAATCCCATTTTGCTCCTGGTCTCATTAGGCAGATATGAATGTAACAGCCTGATAATCTGTAGTGCAGATGTAGACTGCTTGGCATCAGTGTGAAATGAAAGTGCTGAATAGGTCAGGGAGCAATCCTCTGTTAATGAGTGCTACTGCACCTCTGCCAGGCTGCTCCTGCCTAGCTGGAGCAGTGAATCCTAAGGGATAAGTGCTGACCTGCTTCCTCATTAGCATGAAGTTTAAATGTATACTGCATATTCCATAGTCATACAGTCTTCCAAGTGGGGGGAAGAGTAAAAGAACTGGGACTGTGGGCCAGAGGCTTTCTTCCTAATTGTGGAGGACTCTGCTCATCCAGAGGTTTTGCCTCTGTGGCTCAGCAATGCTGAACTCCCTGCTGCCTACTGGGCAGCAGCTTTTATAGGAGCAGGACCTCAAGCTGCTGCTTTTTGGAGATGGAAGCTTTTCTACAAATAGCAGCAATACAGAGGGATTCATGAGAAGTCAGGATGTGCAGGAGGAGATAATCATACAGGAGGACTGAGGGAATGTGGAAATTACAGTCTGCATGTGAGCCTGACAACAATAATGGAAAAAAAAATCTGACAGACTGAAATCACTGTGGCCCAGAGGCTCTGTCTGAAAGGCTTCCCTGTTTTTCCTTGTATATGGGCTTGAGGTTGTAGGAGTTGAGTTAGAATAATGTTCTTATGTGCACATGCATGTGCAAATAATTGATGTTTGTTCTAATAGTAAAAAAAAATCTGACAGACTGAAATCACTGTGGCCCAGAGGCTCTGTCTGAAAGGCTTCCCTGTTTTTCCTTGTATATGGGCTTGAGGTTGTAGGAGTTGAGTTAGAATAATGTTCTTATGTGCACATGCATGTGCAAATAATTGATGTTTGTTCTTTCTTTAGAAAAAAATCATAGAATTGGCTTGTGTTTTTGTTTGTGGCAGCCTTCTGTAGTGGCATTAATCTTAAAAATAATACACAAGTTATTCCAGCTCTGAAGTTAAATCCGGTCTTACATTTGCACAAATCAAGAATATCAAGCAGAGAAGCTTCCCTGGGAGTTGTTGAGACCTATTGTGCAAGCCCAGAAAACTGCTTGCATAGAACTGTACATCATAAAAAAAAAAATGGGGCAAGGAAGACTGATGGGGATAATGTTACCTTTATGGAAACTTCCAGTTTCCTCAAAATGTAGTTCTGAGAGCAGCTATTAATCTGCTTTCTAAAGGATGCTGTGTAGTCATGCAAACAAACCTTCAGAAGATAACCTAGGGTTTGATCCTAATGCCTAAGCTACTCTTGTGTTACCTCTATAGTAAATGCACTGTGAATTGTTTGAGTTCTGCTGTGTTTGTGGGTAGTTCTCAAATTATATCTGATGTTTTTGTATGTGTTTTACTAAGTTACATGAGTGCAGTTGCACAGATGTCTGCTGGGACTGGAGGAATAAGAATTTATTGTCCACCTTTCTTAACCTTTGTCATTCTCTAATAGGTGTTTGGGCCCATGGTGATTACTGCAAAATCAATCCAAAGACAGGAGGAATTGTCATGCTGGGTCGCAGGTACAGTGGTGTGGTGGAAGTGTTCTGAGCAAGCAAGTGTTAAAATTGGCTAACTTTACCTCAGAGCATAATGTACATGGTTCTGTCATGCTGGTAGCTTTTAGTTTTGTTAGATCCAGAATTGTGGAGTTCAGTCCTTCACGCCTTTCAACCCCTGAGCAGCTAGATCAGAGGGAAGGGAGCCCACTTTGAACTTCTGCCCCACTTTTGAATATGTGAACACAAAACAATATTTGGCTTGGTTTTGTGTTCCATGGCTTATTATCTAAGAGTTTGAATTGAGAGTGCAGCACATTCAGGGTGGTGAATCAGGAAACTTGTCTTCTAGTTGTGGCTCTGCCATTGACTTGTCTTCCAGCAAACCTTAATTACAGAAGGTCAGGTGTTAAGTTCTGCTTGTGTTGGTAATCACAGACATTCAAGATCAGAGTTGTGGCTGAATTTTCTGCTTGCATTTAAAAGTTGCTGTTGAAAATAAAGTTAAGTGAATATTGTGAAGCTGTCTGGCATTGTCACAAATAAATGTACTCAACAGCCATGGTGTGAGGTGGCCATGTGTGAAACAAGTTCCAGCTGTAAGAGACTGGAAAGTAACAAAATGCAATTCCAATATAATGGAGCACTATAAAGTTTCTTCATCTGTTTTTGTGGTCACAAATGTGTATGTATTGCAGGCTACTGGAAAGGGGAGGGACTGGGAAAGGTGAATTAATAACATTAAGATTCTCTGTACAACTTTTTTTCTAATGACCAAAATGCCTTTTGAATAAAATCTTAAAATTCCTTTTCCAGTGTGGCTGTATATTCAGTGAATGAAATGTAGAGAGACTTGGTTAATTGCATCAATTTTTATCTTTTCATCCAACTCTAATCACATTTTAATGCTTTTGTTTTGTGTGTGATTTTCAGTGATGGTACATTAAATCCAAATGGTGTCAGATTTGGAAGTTCTGAAATCTATAACATAGGTATGAAATTGACTTTCCACCTCTTTTAGCTATGATATTGTTGCTTTAAATCTGAAATGTAAGCATTATAAAGGTGTTTGGAAGGATTAATAAAGGACTTGCCATTTTTCAAATGGAAGACAGCACAGAGCATATTAGTATTAAGAGCACAATTCTGGTTTTGTAGACTTGAAATTGGTTGGTTTCCTGTAGGACTGGAGATAAGGAATTGAGATGTGTTCTCCATGAGGTGTTGCTTTTGTGTAAAGCAACAGACTAATTAAATCATGCAGATTTCTGAGAATACCTAACTTCTGAGGCTTTTTTCCCCCAAGACAAGCTCTTGACGTTACTTTTGTGTCTTTCCTAATAATTAGATGAAGTTATTGAGCTTGTGATTAATATTTCAAAGCAGGTTCCTGCTGTGAAAGCTGGGGAAGCTGTGTGCCTGCTAAGGTGCTAATCTGAGACTTAAGGCCCTGTTGTTTCTCCTTGTTTTTATCAGGCATGTTAACTTTCTGGCTGTGCAGCAATGAGGACTGTGAGGAAAGCCAGAAAACGTGACTTAGTGTAAAAGTTTGTTTTCTGTCCTAAAAGTTACAGCATTTTTTTTCCTATTTGGGGCCTAAATTTACATGGTCCTTAAACCTGGATTTTCATCTGAGCAGGAGTTAAAATTTCAGAGCAACCCAGAGGGGAAGCTTGTAGAACAATATGGGCAAGATGTCTGTTTTGTCTTTGCAGCTCTAAGGGTGGTGATACCAGAGGAGGCAACAAAGATTATCCAAGGGGTGGAGCAGCTCTGCTCTGGAGACAGGCTGAGAGTTGGGGCTGTTCAGCCTGGAGAAGAGAAGGCTCCAGGGAGACCTTTTAGTGGTCTTCCAGTGCCTGAAGGGGCTACAGGAAAGCTGGGGAGGGGCTTTTCACCAGAGAGGGCAGTGGTAGGACAAGGGGGAATGGTTTTAAAAATGGGAGAGGGGAGATGTAGGTTAGATATCAGGAAGAAATTCATCATGAGGGTAGGAAGATACTGGAATGGGTTGGCCAGGGATGTTGTGGATGCCCCCTCCCTGGAAGTGTTTAGGGCCAGGTTGGATGAGGTTTTGTGCAACCTGGTCTGGTGGGATTTATCCCTGCTCTTAGCAGGGAGGTTGGAACCTGATGATCTCAAAAGTCCCTTCCAACCTTCTCCATTCCATGATTCTGTATTTTGATGCAACCACAAAAAATGTGCTTCTGAAATAACGTTCAAATGCAAGTGCTAATAAGGACTCTTCCTTTCTTTTCAGTTGAAGCTTTCGAGGAGGTTTCTGATAGCCTCTGTGTCCCTCAGTACAACAAGGATGGGGAGGAGAGGGTGATACTCTTCCTGAAGATGGCACTGAACCATGTGTTCAGCGAGGAGCTGGTGAAACGGATCCGTGATGCCATCCGCATTGCGCTCTCTGCCAGGCACGTTCCCAGCCTCATTCTGGAAACCAAAGGCATTCCGGTATGTCAGGAAAAATGCTGCCTCCTTTTTTTGCCTTTGTCACCTTGAATAGTAATTAAGGAGCAGTTGTCACTGCTCTTCAAACCCACATGCATGGAAATTTTAGCATCTCAGAAGTGTATTCGTGCTTTATAAATAGTTGGTCTTTGTTGCTTAGCAACAGCACTTCAGCACCTCTTCAGCTAAGCATGTTTTTGTTTTTTAACAATATCTAAAAATGCCCATTCTCAGTTTATAAATGTATTGCATGTTCTCAGTAATATAAATTTAAGACTTTTAAAACAATACTAAAAAGGTGATTGAACTTCAGCTCTTCTGGTTTCTCAAAGCTTATTGCTTTTGTTTCTCTGTTTAGAATAACATTCTTATGAAAGCTGAGAGCACTGAACAAATTTATGAAATGATTTCGTAAGCCATTTCACTTTTACATCTGTTTAGCCACTTCAATGAGGCTCTATTACTGTCTTAACTGTAGCAGTAACTGAGATCTTCGTGTTTATGAGGGGAGGAATTCATATAGCTGAAGGTTCTGCAAGCTCAGTCTTTCAGAGTTGTTACTCTCTGGTGTTCTTTGCTGTTTGAACCCTTCAGCTGGAATGCCTGATTCTTAGTCTTGTCTACTGCTAGACTCTTCTCAACAGCTCCACAAGCAGCAAAGTGGGAGTGAAGAGTGTAGTTGTCTCAAGGCCATTGCACATAAACTTGAGTGTGTTTAGAGAGAAGGCTTGAAATAGTTTTTCTCTTCTGATACCCATTTATGCCCAATGTAGGTTTCTGAGTGAAAGTGGTCCAAGGTTCAGGACTGCCAGCCTCCATCTGGTTCTGAACTGTGGAGTTACTTCTATTTCAAGCTACTGTTGGCAAATACTAGTTGGCTTGAAATGTTGTCTTTGCATGGGTGTAAAAATCCCTTGCACTTGCTAAGTGAAGTGTAAATTTTTCTGGGCTGCAGCTTAACTTTTGCATGAGGTGTTGAACTTGTAAACAGTGTAAATCACCTGAATGCACAGCACAAAGTTGATGGCATGAGGTGTTTGTGATGGGCTGCCCCTCAGGAAAGACTGCTTAATTAGTTCATACTTTGACTGAATTTACAATTGAGTGAATTTGAATTACCTTTCAGGAAGATATGCCAGTGGTGAAGTGATCAAAGCTGTCTCCCTTCTTCCTTCTGAAGTTTTGCTTGGAAGAGAAGCCTCTTTCTATTCTGCTGCTTTTAGAAATGTATTTGAATTCTTATCTAAAAATACAATCTGATCCTGACTGTACTGACACTCTATACTGGTGGAAATAGTATAGCTGTGTTGAAGTGATCAGGTCTTCAGTAATACAAAGCATGGTTTTTAATGAGATATCCAGGTGATAAACATCATGAGCTCTTGGTGTGAATCTTGTCCTGTCCTGAGCAAATAAGCATCCTGGTCATCATGGACAAGATTGTGGATGTGGATCCACTGATTAAAGTAAACAAATTTGCTTTGCTAAACACTTTTTTACAGAGGGCAGTTCTCCTGCAGGCCACTGAGGTCTTCTGGTTTCTGAGCACTTCTGAAAATGAGGTTGCTAATTGTTGAGGAAGAAAAGTGGTTGATTAAGGTGGTTCAGGAGGGTAGGATTACATCTGACTTAAGCAGCTTTCATAAGAAAAAGGTTGATTTAGTATCAAGATTAATATTGTAAGAGCATATTTAATTGAAGATTATTTAGCTGGGCTCTGAAAGATAGCTGGTGAAAAGTGGTGGTGTCTGGAGTTCGGGAGTTCCAGTGGCTTTGGAGGCCAGGAACAAGCTGTGTTCATCAATCAGCAGTTTCAGTAGCCTTAGTGCCTATAAAAGCAGAGATCATCTTCTAAAATGAGCCTTGACAAGTTCCTGTTAACACTAAATTAGTTACTTCTTACTGAACTGCTCAGAAATCAGTGCTCTAATCCAAATAATTTTTGTCTTCATTGCTGCTTTCAATGAAGACTTGGTTATGGCTGGTTTTGAAATGCTTTGGTGTTGAGGGCCACTTAAGCTCAGCACTTCACTTTACCCTGTTAGAAAAGGACTGTCCACTTAAGATATGAAAGTCATGGTTTTCTTTTCCCAGAGCCCAATGGATCTGGGCTTTGAGCCCACACTGAGAAAAAACAAAGATTGTTTGAGAATTGCATGTGTCAGAACATAAAGGATTAAAGATCTTTTTGTATTGAAACCATGATTCTGATCTGGTTTCATTGGTTTAAGTTGGGGCTTGATCATGTTCTCACAATATCACCAAATAGGAATAATAATCTAAAGAGCACACAAGGTCTTTGAGTTCCACTCACTCCAAATGATTTTCAGAAAAATTCTGGTGCCTCAAGAGTAAGAGAAGTAAATTTAAATTCTGATTGAATTCTGGGGTTGGTGGGGGGTTTAATGAATATTTCCATAGAGCAACTGCATGAAAAGTAACTTTTTATCATTGCTGGTTTTGTTTTGCAGTATACAATAAATGGGAAAAAAGTGGAAGTAGCTGTGAAGCAAATAATTGCAGGGAAAGAAGTTGAGCAGCGAGGAGCTTTCTCAAACCCAGAGACTTTGGACCTGTACAAAAATATTCCTGAGCTTCAGAACTTCTGAAGTCACTTTGTTTTGGGGTTTTTTTGCATCTTTGTTCTGTCTGTTTTGTATATACCAATATTGTATGTAAAGAAAAAGCTCTATTTAATAACAGTGGTTCTTGTAAAAGGAAGAAATGTTTCATTAAGTGCATTATGAAAGGCTTGGGTAAAGCTTAGCTCCCTTTTATTGGTTAAATATGCCATGTATCTTGGAGTTTTTTTTTCCAGCCTGGAAGGAAGAACCTGCCTATTTTTTTATATATGAGTGCATCTTTTCTGGTTAGATTTACATCAGCAGCCCATCAAATGGGAGCACCCATAGCATAAGTTACAGTTGCAAATAGAATATTTCTTTCATAAAACACCTGCTTTCTTTTTTAAACTGGATTTTTAGGAACATTTTTTCAGTCCATGTGTTTCAGTCATCTGTAAGGAATATACAGTGACTTTAATGATTGCAAGGCATGAAGGTATTCTGTATGTAATGTGCATTTAAATGTTTTTATAAAGCCAAATCATAATGCACTAAACTCATTTGACTTGACTCAGAATAATTTCAGTCTTGAAATACCCCATGGTACCTTTGAAGGTAATTGCTGCTTGTTGTGATGTAGCCTTCCTATTGTCTTAAGCTTTTAGTTGATAGATATGTGGAGGTTCAGAAGGTGAGGGAGTGATCAGCTTCTTCTTATTCCTTCTGTGACTCTAGGTTGTTTCCATGGAACTTACTGTCATTACTCTGGTTTAACATCATTGCAGTTGAAGACAGGATTTTGCTTCCTTGTTTTGAAGTTCTTTACTGGCTGTGAGACAAATCCCATGTGATGTTAGCTAAAGAACTCCAGTGTGTTCATTTATTAAAAAGCTGATGTTTTTGTAACTTTTTTTACTAAATGTCTTATTGAAAATGAAAGACTAAAATGTTTTCTAGCTCTGTATCCTTCCAGTTCATAAAGGGAAAAAATACTGTAATGAGCATACTAAAGCAGTAAAATGGAAGCACTAAAACATTGTTTTGTTTCATCAAGTACCGTTGTAGTAGTTGTACCAAAACCTCTGGCATTCAGTATCTCCTGCACTATTTGACTTCTGTGGGTTAAGTATTTAATGCATTAAAATCATGGATGTTCCTACAATTGTGTTGAATGCATTCCACACTGGTAAAGAGTTAATTAAAATTGATTCTTTATATATATTATATATATGATTTGTTTCCATGTTTTCTGTTATTGTCTCACTTATTTTCCTTTTGCTTGGATGTCATGGAATAATTTTTAGCTTAATTTTTTTACCTATTTCAGTGGTTAAATTCAAGTCCACCCACTACAAAACTATTCTTCTCTGAAAGCTTTATCCTGTTTTCTTATGCAGGGCCCAGAAGGAGTAAAAAATTGCTGCTAGTTATGCATGGCTGGCTCATGGAGGAGGCCACAGGTGAGCAGCAGTGGAAGAAAGTGCTGAAAATCTGCCTTGAGTCAGTGCAGTAAGAAGTTATAGGTTGTGATATGTTGATGTTGCTAAAAGGGATCAACCTGGGCAGTGAAAGGTGTGTATCCTGTGAAGGCAAAATCCAGCTGCTTGTGTTTAGCTGCAGTTAGGAAAAGTGTTATTTCCTACACTCTGTGATAACCTCAGCCCTCTTGCTTGTTCCAGTAGCTGAAGGCTGTTGCAGAGTAGGTTAAACATTGCTGCTAATAATTCAGTAAGAGTGAAACTGCCTAGAACTGCAGCTGAGGAGCAGCCCTTCTGAAGAAGTCTGGTTGGATCAGTCATTGTGGACACCAGCTCCACATCCACTGCAGGATGCAAAATACAGCTTTAAATGCACTGGTTTCTATTTTACTTTCTGAACTGGACCAATTTGGACAGCATACCTTGCCTGTGTTATATAGGCGATAATATAAATACCAAGCATTTTAACACTAGAAAGGTGTACAAATAAGCTATCCAGCTGTCAGTAACCTATGATTAAAAGTACTTTTAAATGCCTTTCCCCTCTGGCATGCTACATATAAATTTTACATTAAGTGTGACTTTGTATTCATTAAAGCTTCATTATATTATTCTTTAATTCATGCAAAATGTCTAGAGTTTACAAAGCCCACAGATCCTTATTAATAAGTAATTTTGGAGTATTTAATTAAAGATAGTTTAGAAAAGCAGACACATTAAGAACATATACAATGCCTAGAGGCTGCTTTTATTAATCCTTTATGCTGCTGGAAACACTGTAGAAAGTTCTGTTAATTGATATAATTTGATCTCATGCAAATGTCAGATGTTGCAAGGCTTTTCCCAGACTATAGTTACAAACAAAAAAGTAGATTTACTTATACATTGATGTGCTTTATAACAGCTCATGGAAATCTAGGGATAAGAGGTGAGTGGGTGGTTGTTGTGCTGGGAAATGACTGGCACTCAGAAGAGGCTGTGGGAGGGCTGGGAGCACTTGTCCAGACCTACTGAGTCCAACTCCTCCCATTCCAAATCCTGTCCTCCAAACAACTAACTTAGACTAAAGCAAAGATAAATACAAGTGGCCCACTTCTTTGGATCCTGCCATGGAGCTGTGCACATGGCTGTATCAAAATATTACTAGCATAGGGCAGGGAGATTAATTCATCAGTTTGCAAGGGATGAGTAGAGAGTAGTTTTCTTTGTCTCTTATCTTTGGCTATAAAATTGCTGTGTTCTTTCCAGGGCTTGGGGTAATGGTGGTCAAATGTGGTTTCAAGGAGGGTCCTTGCAAACTGGTGGTGCCCAGATGCTTGGCCAAAAGAAAAGATCTGGCAGGGTAGTGATGCCATAGTGTTAGCAACAACAGATCCTGTGAGTGCTGTAGCTGTGGTGCTCCTAAGGTGTAAGCTGAATAACCCTTGCAGAAGGTGTCTGAGCAACTGGAGTGCACCTCAACCTGTGGTGTTCTTAGCCCAGAAAGCCTTGAAGCCTCAGGGCTGTCAGTGTGTAACTAGTTGTACCTTGTAACATGTATCCCCCCCTTAATTTTTGTTGCCTGTTAATAACTTGGGGTTCACAGTACTTTGGTTGGGAAGCTACATCAGCAGCTGTTAGTGGTGTGCAAAGAGCTAGTTCTGGAAACTTTTGAGCCTCTGGCATAAATCTTCAATGGCAAGGAAATCCAGAGCAGAGGTATATCAGGCTTGGTGCTTTTCTCACTCAGTCTTCTGCAAACTTGAGAGTGACTATTGAATTATGATGGAATCAGCCCATTTGCCCTTGACTCTTTCAGAGATGTAGTTTTATCACTTTCCTTTTAGAAATGTGCTGTTGTCAGCTCCTGTTAGAGCAGGTCTTTCCCTCTCCCACTACCTTATGATGTCAATTAATTTCCCTGGTTAGTGGTGGTTCTCAAACAAATAAAATGAGCTGGTACACAACAGCCCAAGCAGGACATAGCCAGTAAAATTGTTTATTGTTATGTGCAAGAGAAATTGCTTGTGTGAATTACTTAGTGATTTTAAAAACACAGGTAATTGCCTGATGGAATCCAACTTCCCTGGGGCCATTATTGTCTTTCCGTTTAATGCACAGACTGAGGGGGATATCATTTACAAGGCAGAACATTCAGTCACACAGGTAAATGGGTGTTAAAATGATATTTAAAATGCATTAGTAAGGAGTCCTGGTTTGTTCTTGAGCTGAAACAGTCAAGTTTGGGTTTGGGAAAAACTGGTGTCTGCAGGGAATGCTCTGGCAGGTAGATGGTGTCTGGGTGATGGGTGGTGTCCAAATGAATCTTTGTGGAAGGTGTTTGGGAATGATCTTCCCCATGTTACATCCCTGGATGCAAATGCTGCCATAGTTTTCATGTTGATGAGTGCAGCACACAGCAGGGCTTTGGTGGGGCTAAATACCAAGGTTGAATTGTTAAATATCTTCCTGGATAGCATGTGAATCTTGGGAGCTCACCAGGCTGATGAGGGAGAAGGTTCATGGATTGTGAGCTCTTCTATGAACGAGAGACCTTTGGAGCAGGATGGTGGTGGAGCACAGGGCAGGAGCAGCATGAGATCAGGTCCTTAATTCTGAGACTTGTCTCCTTGGTGGTCAGAGGTACAAGAGCTTGGGTGAGGTGGGAGAGGGAAAGGCGTGTCAACTAATTGTTTGAAATTGCCCCATGTGCTCTGCTTGGGTCAGCATGGAACAGACATGGATTTGGAAGAAACGTTTTGAAAAAATGTTTCACTTCTTTTTCTGCACTTGCCTTTCTTCTAGTGCATCATTTTATTGAGCTGTTAACCTCTGTCCACCTTCATGACTGTGGTCTGAGGTGTTTCAGCACATATGGAGGCTTTGTTCTTCCTAGAGGTGATCTTTGGAGCTCCTCATTCATCAGTTTTTCCACTTAAATCTTTTACCTCGTTGCTGGGTTCCTGAGGTGTCTGTCTACTGGCTGGACCTCTTGTGTCCTACAGAGCTGAGGTGCTAAATCAAAAAGTGTTTGCTCAATCTCTTTTGCTTCATGAGGAAGAGTATTTTTAGCTCTTAAATAATCAGGTCTTAGACAGCAACAAGATGCAACTTAATTTTCTTCAACTTTTGTAGGAAGAGGAAGCTGTGTCATACACTGATCTTCCAGAAATAAAATCAGGGTCTGAGTTGCTGTGAAGTGTGGCTGCAGTCCAGCATGGCAGCCTCAGAGCTGATGAGAGCATGCATATTTTCCTTGCTGGGAATTAGGAGCCTTTTTAGATTCAAATAATGAGATAATCAACATCAGTTTGAGCATCTTGCTCTACATGATCTGTGTGCAAAGTGAGAGTGAATCTCTTATGCAAAGGAGAAGGAAGGAGGCTCTGAAACGCTATTAGTGAGTCCAAGAGTGTCTCACAACAATTTCAGTTGCAGAACAATAAGATGTCCCAAAGTATTAATGTAGCAGGCTGCAGCTGTCCACACAATTCCTCATCGTGGCTTCTGATGGCCAGGGAAATTTTTCCAAACCACCAGTTGGAGATGAACTTAAGTGATAAAACTGTGTTGTTGGAGGTGGGCAAACCCTGGGCAGGCCATTGTTTAACTGGGTTATGTAGCACATTAGCAGAGGCTTAATTGGACCTTGTACTTTCTAATTAGAAGACCTTAAATTCTCATCTTACTACTTTTGACAAGTGGGTTTTGCAAAGTTCAAGAGGCTTATCAGCATTCAGCCTGAGACTCCAGCTAAAGTAATAATGTCCCTTGGAAAAAACATCATCAGGGTGGTTAATGAGTTTACACTACCATATTCAAGTGTGCACATAAAGGTTCACATCACTAATGAAAGAGTCTGCTCAAAAAATATATCCCTTTTGCAGTTTTGTTCCTTTCTGTAGTGATTTAAAGGAAATTAAGAACTGGTTGTTGCAGGGCAACAGTCACACTGATGTGGTATATGCCTGTTTTCTGCTGGAGTTTTACAAGGAGATGGTTTTAACACTTCCAGCATATTGTTCCATTATGTGTTTTGCCAGGGAACAGGAGATTATTTCTTCTCACTGTATGGTCTGCTGTAACCATGCTATTAGGAAGATGCCTTGGTTGTGTTAGCCTGTTCTTCTAAGCCCTGGATTATGGAAAGAAGGGCCTGTTTATAAGAGCAAGCTCTAAGCTGAGCAGTAGGAACTGGTCAAGAGGGAGACCTAAAATCAGTAGGATGTGAAGGGTTGAAAATGGATGGATGCAGAGTTCATTTCAGGCTCCTTCTAGAGCAGCCAGAGAGGTGTCCCAGTTTGCTTACAATGCTGTTATACTGCTAAAACTCTGCCTGGGTTTGCAGCATCTTGTGTTATCCAGGAAAAGGAGAGGTGGTTTGGGTTTGTTTTTTTTTTTAGGAGCTCACTAAAGGGTGGAGTTGCATTTCCTTCCTTTGCAGTGGATTTGAAACTGGTGGGATTTGCCTGGTGCATCTGGTCCTGTGGGCACCTGTGTGATGGGCCTGGGACAGACCCAGGCAGTGGCAGCTCAGCAAGTGGGTGGCTACACCCCAAGAACTCAAATGCAATTAACTTCTCTGGCAGCACATTTGTTTCCCTTTAAACCAGATTGTTACTCTTAAGCTTGTGTTAGCTATGAAGAGGTTAAAGCTAAATGGAAGTAAATTGTGTTAAGAAAACTATGAAGATTTGTGCTAGTTTAACTTGGTTAAAAAGGTGAGCTGAGTTTAAACAGGTGTGACTTCTAAGCCTAAGGAGGTGGCCTTGAGAGTGCAAATGTGATATTCAACTGAGAATTTTCATCTGCCTAGTTCTCCTGTATAATATATGCTAGATACATGACACTTCATGAATTAATGCAAGAGTGTAAAGCATGGAGAGATTCTTGTACAGGTTTTGCTCTTATAATGCAAATGCCAAGCAAGGCTTTACATGGACCTGGCTATCTGGAATCATGGAGCCTATTTCAAGCTTCACTTCAGGGTTTGTTTCCATTTC